TGGGTACACACTAAATTGCTAGTGAGCTCATTTATATTAAAAAAAATAAATTCCAAATGATTCAAACTAAAAGGACTTTCCCTTTTGCTTTTGGCATACAATTCACAAAAAAAATAATTTTAAGGTAATTTAATTCTATTCTAAAGAATAATGCAGATGCCTAAAAGACTACAATTTTCTTGTATTTAGGATGTATGATGTTATTTTTTACTTTTTAAAAATAGTTCAAAGAACTCCTTTTCTAATTTTTTTTTCCCTTAAATATGAAACTAATTCTTAAGTTCAAAGAAATATTTGTATCAGCCCATTACTGCTGAGGAAGTAGAATGTAAGATCCAAAGCAAGTAATTCAGATTTTGGAAGCATTTTATGAACTACATTCTGAACCACTTATGTAGAGTAGCTGAATTTTAAGCTTTGCTTTTTAGATAAACAAAATGAGAAGAATTCATTTATGTTTAACATTTATGAGAACAAAATAATAAAATCAAAAATATGACACAGTAATGCAAATGTTCACCATTTAACACAGAATTCTGAATTCCAGACAGCTGTAGCTTTAGTCACACAAAACTGGTAAGCTGTGTCATATTATAATTTACCATTCCCAAGAAAAGTCAAGAGCATTCATTTTCCGTTTTGTTTTAAAATTATTGAATGGTAATGTGACATTTTAGTGATTATGAGGAAAGCCTATTTGACAGATTTTTTTCCCTCCCTTTAAATGAAAAAAAAAAAAAAAAAAGTTAAAATAAATCCCTGAAGACATTTCTTTAATTTAACTGAGGAAAAAAATGAAGAATGAAAATTGGCTTATTTATATGCTACCTGCAAATATTTAGCAATTCTTACTGCACTGGGTAGCCTACCAATTTCATCTGGAATGCTCCAAATGCACGTAAGTGGAATGAAGCTCATAATTGCAAGAAATGTTCAGTATTTCTTGACTTAGTAAATCAACAAACATATAAAATATAATTTTTATTATAAAACATATTAGTAACACTTATTTCCTGGGCAGTCACTAACAATTCCTGCAACACATGTTGAAAGCAATAAAACCTATGTAATACCATATGCATTGTGTTAGACTAAAATATATTCGGTCTATACATGTATCGCTGGACTCGGTTTAATTTTGGCATCTGTCTTCTACTGAAAAGTGCCTGAGATAAAGTTTTTTGTGGGACAAAAATGTGTACTCAGTGCATTGAGTTTTTCATTGACATGTTTTGTACCTTTGACCATCTGTGCTCAGCATCAAAGAATAAAAAAACCCACCCAGGATCAGAATACTTTCAGCGACTAATTTTGTAGTGACCTCTGTTAGAATATGTATGATGAATCAGAAAATTAAGAATTAAAACACGCCCATTTTTTTATAAGATTATCCTTTGTAACACTTTTCCTTACTAGTCAATTATTTGAAATAAAATTAACCACAGTTAGACTTCAGTCGAAGTCTAAGAATTTGGAAAAGAACTACATTAACTTGAATTATTTATGTAGATACATGTATACATATATATACACATATGATGAGATACAGTTTTATTAAAGTTTAAACAGAAGATATCCTAACTAAGCAAAAATGTCTAAATAGGATTTGAAATCCACAATGACCTTGATTAACATTTCCTAACATTTAAAAAAATCATCAATAATAATGAAAGAATCCCATACAATACTAGTCCCTTAAGAATTATTCTTGGATAGCCAACTGAAATAAAGCCTATGTTGCATTATCACCTATACCATGTTTCTTTTCTTCCTCTGCCTGTCATAGCAAACTGATCTGTATGGCTCCTGATAAATAATATTATTTATGTTTCATTATAGATCCAAAACCAGATGTGAATCCCAACATAGATGTTTTCCAGTAATAGTCAATCATGATTTTATCAGCCATAATCCAGGTCCATACTTCTGTTTGGACTACTCACTTCTATGTCACCCTGAAAATCAAGCCTTCTGACATTGTTTTCATAGTTTCTAAACACTTTCCCAAGAAAGTAACTATAAACATAGGTGTTTATATATTCCATTAAAACATGTCTTTTGATAGACGTTTCTTACGACCAGTATAGTTGAGAAAGTAATAACCTAACTATCCAATCCCTGGTCGTTGTCGAGAATCTATAAACACGACAACAACAAAATAAAGCTTCTCCTTCCTCTACCACACATCAAGCAGTGTCTGTGTAAATCACTTCATGTCCAACGATGACTCTTGTATATTTATTCTTTAATGTGTACAAACTCTCCAGGTAATGAGTAGCTCCAAACTCAGATGGCCAGTCCCAATGAACTGAACGGCCATGAAGATTTGCTGTGTTATGGTGTTAATTGACTCTAACTGGAGGCAGAACACTTAGATGTTATCTGATTGTCATAAATGCTCAGAACATTTATGGACCTCAGACTCAGATATGTAAATCAGCATGGTCACAAATGTTATTGCCATATGAAAGCAAGCTCAAAAAGTATAAATGTTCGAAACCACAAAAAGATACTTTCATTGAAGTAGTGGCTTTTTATACTATCATTTCATTATATTTTCATTTGAGTGTTTGAACCACATCAGTTGTTTATCTGTCAGCCCTCTGTTTGCATGAACACAGACAAAACTCATAAACCCTGACATTTGATATTTTCCCTCCCTTGAATTGCTCTAGAAGATTGACTTAGCTTTCAACATTCCACTCAACTGCAGTGCAAAGTACTAACTTTGCCAATCTCACCCATGTATGTGACAAGTATTCTCTTGCACTCTCTTTGCCTCTCTCTTTGAAAAAACTCTGTATATCAAATTTTTTTTTTTCACTTTAAATTACATTAAGAAAATGATCCCTGAAAAATATCATTATATGGCATTGATGACTATGTTTGAGGCTCTTCTTGTATGGTACTGATCCTCAGGAAAATTATTATATCCCAGTCAGCAGTATTTAAGTGCTGTTTTACATTTTAATTCCACAGCATTTGTTCCAAGAAAGAACTTATTTCTGAAACAATGAACACATGTGCTACACGAGACTAAATATACAAAAATGATAAATTCAGAAACCTTAAAATTTTGCATTGACCTAATGCAGCTGAGGTCCTTGAAAGTTATTTCTCATTATGTGACTTAATACAGGTAGAAACTCATTAAAGTCTCCATCCTGCTTCCTTCTGGAGTAATGGGTTGCAAAATTCCTTGTTATGATCTCAGAAGAAACCTTTTCTGGCAGTGTAATGCACTATATATTGTGCTACATACATAAAAAAGAAAAACATATATCTAATACACTTTTTGATCACATTTCTGAAACCAGGTCTCCCAGATGTATGCTATAGTGCAATTGTATGCAGATGGCACATTCCTAATTTTCCTTTGCATAATCATAATGAAAAAATTAATCAACCATTAATCCATTACTATTTATCACCCATTCTATTTATAAGACTGCCATTTCCATGGGAAAAAGGTAAAAATTTTAGGAAATAAGATTTGTGACTATGATCTTAGAAAACCCAAACTATTTCCTAAACCCCAGTTTCTCTATACAAAGTAAGCAGTAACAGGTCTAAACAAGAACACAGTGGAAAATTCATGTGACAAATGTTTACAATAATGTTATGAAAGCACTTATTTAAACCAAAATATAGATTATTTAAATATGTCTGAATAAAATCACTAAGAGTCAGTCGTCTTCTGAAGAGTATAAAGAAGGGTTTCTCTTTACCCTTCTGCCAGGGTAAAAAGAAACTAACTAATAAGGGCATTTAATTCTGCATATAATGAAAAAGAAATGTACTTTTCTTTCTGTGGCTAGGCTTAGTCACATCTAGTGCTACTCTGCAATATTATTTGTGCATTTGACCCTCGTGTTTGGGCAGATGATAAGTATACATAGACTCAGTAGGAACTCCAGGGGCATTTCTGGTTAGGAGAATACAGTGATAACTGCTGATGTAAATGATTGATTATAACAGCAATCTACATGAGAAATTCAAGGTTCAAGCTTGTCCTCATGTCTCCAGACTCTCCCATGTATCAGGGGAAATTGCTAGTACTGTTGTCTTCTGGACCTGTACCTTGAAAAATTAAAGACTAAATATTCCCACAGCTTCAATTTGGTTACTGTTAACATACTAATCAAACAAAATTAGCAGTTACTTCTTTCCTTTTAGAGTTGAGGTACAGAAATTAAATAGGTCCATACTACAGAATCAATTTTTCAAGCCTGGAAATTGAATTCAGTTATAGTCAATTACTCAGGTCTATTATTCAGACCTGAGTAGATACATCATATTTAGAAAGTTTCTATATGCTGTACTGTTCCGTTACCAAAATATGCAAAGTATTACAATATTTACATGAATTAATACAACATGTTGAACAATATTCATCAGCATATTCAGTTGAAAAAAAAAGAATATTTGGCTTTTAAGATATTAATTGTGTATCAGAAATATGAGATTTCTTTTGGTTTATGTCAAACTAACAGTGCAACAGATACATCTTAGCACAATAATAATTTTTGAACTCTACTCAGATTGTATATCCAGTTTTGAGAGCGACTATTTTTCATTCTGCCCTATTATACAACACTTCTTTTTGCCTGGCATTTGACAGGCATTCCCATCCTTTGCATTTACTTCAATTCCTCAATGCTGAGGCTGCAAAAACAAAGCCAGCAACCTCATAAAGCTATTCATGGAAATCTGCCATTCTAACTGGGATCTAACTCCACTTTATTATTCACTCAAGGAAGTTTAAAACTCTGAGATGAATTTAAGTATTTATGCCAATAGATAAACAACAACAATAATAATAATAAATATAATTATAAATATATTTATAAACATATTTATTATTATTATTATTATTATTATTATTATTACTACTACTACTACTACTACTACTACTACTACTACTACTACTACTACTAATAATAATAATAATAATAATAATAATAGAAGAAGAAGAAAATGAAAACAATGTAAGATATTACTGAAGTAGTTCTTCTTGGGAAAGCTCTGACATTCTTTGCTTGCCAGTCACCAATGCCAACTCATCCTTCAGATTCCGGATCTCCTTTTTCAGCTGGACAATCATCTACAAACAGCAAGGCATAAACCAAGCATCACCTACAAATTAATAGCTAGTTTAAAATTTTTGCAGTAGAAGGTTGAGTTTAGGTAAATATATTATAGTTTTCTCTTTTTTTAAACAAGATGTCTTTCCTAAAAACTGTCAAAATGCCTTAAATACACCAAGCAGCTTTTTTTTTTTTTTTTTAAATATTTTTCCATTTATAAACACAAGAAAAGTCTTCCAAATTCAGGAAATTCTTGTGTTAGATGACATGGCTGTACAGAAAGAGTTCAAAAGAATTTTTGCAAAAGAGACATATAATTTGACATAGGAATAAAAAGACCTTTTCTGACTCATTAGTTTTGTCTCTTAATAATGAAAACACTTCTAAGAACTGACATTTTTGTCAGAGAAAGGGCAACTACACAACAAAAAATTTTTTTTTTGCTTTTCCCTATAGAAACAGAAGTTTCAAAACAACATCTTAATTTTAATCTTACCTTTCTTCTTCATCATGTGAAATTTCACTATTATTAGAATTACAGCACACTATACTTTTAGGATGCATCAGTTGCTAGCAACAAACTAGCAATATAGCAATATAGCATAAAGCAATATAATGAAATTAAATTTTATTAATGAATATTAATGTGAGAATATTACATGGAAAACTGAACTAGATTTTTAAATTCTAGGAAGTCATCGTTGTAATATATATTTTGGGAATAAATGTATGCATAAAACCTAATTTTCCTAATCATTAAACTCTCAAGGCCAAGTTCTACAAAGCAGGACAATATGCAAATACCTAAGACATGAATGAGTGCATGCTTGGATACTTTATGATTGATCATTTAATGAATTCTGCCTTTATATGGCTGAAATGGATCAGTAGTCCTGTGACATTTTTAGGTGGATACGCATACACTGATTCCTTGTGCAAAATAAGTTTCCAAGAGAAGAATGTTTTCAAGGAAAAATTAATCACTTTTGATTGCATGAACTTTCCAGTAAAGAGATTGTTGAAATTGATTACACATATTTTCACTGGATGTTAAAATTCCTTCAAGCATTTCTATTTCTTTTAATGGTTAAATTTAATTGTAACTTCCTAAATTTTCACTTTAAAAATCAAATTATTTTAAACATAAATATGATTATTTCTTTTAACTCTAAACCTATAATTAACTATTTTTTTTCAATTAAATATAGAAGTCTAACATTATATTTTGTTTAATAGTCTATTAAAGTGATGACTATTAATTAGCAAAGTTGCAAGAACACTTAGAAAACATTGCAGGCCAAACATTTTACACTAATTTTATATTCCCCCATCTTGGTGCCAAACTCTGATGTAGTTTGTGCCAGCTACTGAGTCAAGAAAATTAAATTTGGGGCTAGAGTGGAAAATGGTAGACAGCTGAATCACTGTAACACCGCTGTTCAACGTTCAAATTTGTTAGGACAATGAACTTCAATCTGACAATGAAAGAAATACCAGTTTCAGGATATGGATAGAAGATTCATTTTCAAGTATTAAGAGGAACAAAAATCTACTGAAGCAAAATAACTTACATGGAAATAGAGAGGAGGTTTAATTCAAGACCTTGATTTTCAGTTTTAATTGTGTCTTTTAGCCATGAGTGAGAGAAGTTCATGGATGTATCACTTAAAAGTACAACAGGTACAAATTCATCTTCTCAGTAAGATAAAAAGTCAGGAATTCTCCATTATGAAGAATAAAGTTTACACAACCATCTGACTTAAATCCACCAAGAGGTATTGTGAACTCCCTTTATAAAACATGCATTCAACTCACAGATGATAGATACTGCCAGTAAATTGTATTTTGATTTTTCATAAAATTAGTATACTTTTATTACAATAAAATTTGATTTTTATGAAAAAAATCTTAAATCCAGCACTTTGAATAATAGGTTGCACCCTAGGAATATACTTAAGGCAACAAAGGCAAGAAATTTTATGATGAGCACAGGGCCATATCAATTCAAGGTACTTCTGTTCCCCTGCCTTTTCCACAAGAGGGGATGGTTTTCTAACTCATGAGTCCACTTTTGCTTTACTTGATAAATGATCCTGCAGAGCGAGACACACCAAACTCATGGAGTATAGCTCCACAAGATGTACTAAATGTTCAGGAGCCTGCATGTGTTTTATCTCAATCAAAACTTTCTGTGGCCATGGAAGAAATGTTTTGCATGATTTGCTACTAGAAAGTCTGTGTAGAAAAGAAAAAAAGGACAGACAGGTTGCTCAATTGTTGTTCAAAATAAGTTGTTCAGTGCCTACTGGTTTTATTTTTTGGCCTTTTTTTTTTAATCTGTGATGCTATTTTTATTAAAAATTACATGGAGAGAAAAATAAAAAGTAATAAAAAAGAAAACCAGCTGAAAACCTGATAAGGACCTTCTATTTCCTTTGAACATTGAGAGACAGGAAGAAATAAAAGCACAATTCATAGTAACTGAAATATTCTAATAACCATCAAGTAGCAATGAATGAAATCATTAGCTATATAGCTATTTCTGTCTCCTTTGCTTGTCTTCCTCTTTTTTCATAATGGTAACTTCACAGAATTCTTTCTTCCTATCTAAAATGTTCCTTGAATCAATTTCAAGGAAGTACTCAGTATCAGTAGGTTTCTTAGCTTTTAAATACACAAATTGTTTCCGTGCAACTGTATGCCTTCATCAAGTGACTAGTAATCTTAGTAGATTTTTAAAGAGATTTAAAACCATCCAGTAATCTGTGACTATGACTTAGGAATTAGCAGTCTAAAAAAAACAACATGAAGATGATAATGCAAGTGACCATTTCTCCTCAGATACTTTAAGACTGAGAAAGCCTTTACAGATTTGATAAAGATACACAATTACAACTGTGTCCAAAAGAAAAAATTAAAGTGGCAGTTATTTTACTGAAAAAAAAGTTGGAGCTTGCATCTGAAAACAATTTAATGGGATGTTTCAGTATAAAATACCCAACATTTACTGCTATTGGTTAATAAAACTTAAACCAAGCAATCTCCTTCCCCCATCCCCAGACAGCTCTCACCAATCTGGGGTCAATTTCTTCATTAAGAACTGCTTCGTTCTTAATAAGAGCAACTCGCTGTGCAAATCTGCAGGTTGATATAGATTCCTGGAAGAAAAATAAAAAACAGAGCAAGGAGAGAATTCCAATTATCTTTGCACCAGGTAAGTAGCCAGACTTCTAATGAAACCATTAAACTATGTTTCCGTTTTTTGAGTATGCTACAGAAATATTCTATCATTTCATACTCCAAAATAACAATATTCAAGGGAAATCAAGTTAGCATACTAATGACAGGGGCATATAAAACTGTTAAATCATAGGATATATTTTACTGATACAGTTTATTCCCTGACCAACTGTTTCAGGTAAGTCTCCAGCTGGAATTATAGGATAACAAAGCCATGCTACTCAGAAGGCAATAACCTCTGAATGATGAGAAAAGGAGAAAACTAAGAAAAGTTGGGTTGTTTTGGGTTTTTTGGTGTGGTTTGGAGGTTTCTTGGGTTGGTTTTTTTTTTTGTTTTTTTTTGATTGGTTGATTGTTTTTTTGGTGAAAAGGGGACTATATAATTTTATGTAAAAGAAGCTGGAAAAAGAGATGAAGGGAAGAATAGCGGAAATTCAGTACAACTGAGAAACAAGCTAGAAGACTTGGAACTGGGAGGCATACAGAGGAACTGTGATACCAGATAAAAATCTCTCAGATAGGCTAAGATGGGGATCAGCAGAAATGGAAAGCAGTAAAAAAAAGATACAAGACTGAGCTGGTTGGGTAAACTGTGACAGCCATTTTGTACTCCTATCTAGTGCACAGAAAGAAATCAAATATCATGGTAAGTATTGCTCTCACATTCCTGATCAGCTGATATTTAAATGCCAGACCCTGCTATAAGACTTAAATATTTAATGAAAAAACACCCCAGCAATTATCTCCAGTTAGGTCAAATAATAAAACAGAATATTAGGCAGTAGCCTTAGAAATTCAAATGATGCTTGAGAAACTATGATTAACCCCTATGGGATGTGGCAGCCTGCATGTAAAAAGAGAATTTGTAACAGCTCCTAAATTAATTCACTACTGTAACAGAACTGATTTTCAGAATGGAATTCTGCAGTTTTCAGTCCTCCAATATAAGAAAATACCTGCTTAAATATTATGTTCCTACATCTTTTTCCACACAACTTCTGTCTCTTTAAGTGCTTGGAGGTTTCAGTTTGGAACCCTGTATAAGGATTCATGAGAAAGATATTTAAGACACAATATATACATAGAGAATCAAAGGAAAGGAAGGCTTTACAATTAAGAGAGTTGCAAATAGAATTAGTTGGCCTCTATGTATGTCTCTGCTATTCCTTTGCAGTGATGATCAGCAAATATGATTTTAATTAAGTTCTATATATAGTAAGTACAGTTATATGTACAGTACACATACATACATTTCCACTAGATCTCTTTGCCCTGTTTAATGTGCAGCATATGTTAAATTAATGAATCGGTAATCAATTCAGTTCTCAATGTTCAATATGTTAACTTACAATTTGTTTACTCTATGCCATCAAAATGCATCTGCTTCGTGCATTGTTTGTGAGTGAAATTTACACCCAGTGGAAACAACAAACGACCATGCAACCCTAACACAGCTATGGATAATGACTCATGCACCTATCCTAATTCTCACATTTTCTGATGAATAGCAATTGAGTTATCATCTTTTTATATTACTTGTACATATTAGCTTATCATCCACCTATATTATTTGGACATTTCAGATTTTGGGAAAAAAAAGAAAGGAATTTTTGTTGTTGTTGTTTTATTTTTGGGAGGACCGAGGAATAAGTTCTGTTATGTAAATAGTATATGTTAAAGCAAGAACATGAAAATTGTCACAGCTTATTCTGGATAATTGCTTGATCTAAATATTTCCACAATAGAAATCTAGAACACAATGTGAGATACACACACCTGATGAATTGATATATGAAAGGCTTCTGATCTCACAGAGCTTAAAATAAAATTAACAAACTTACCCAACTGCATTTGTAACCAGACAATATGTTTACATAACTACGTTTGCAAGTCTGAACAATGTTTTCATTTAATGGCAAAGTCCACTTCTCTAAAGAGAAAGTCTATAACTAGATGAAATATGGTCTGAGTATAATTTCCACTGTATTTCAGGAAATAGTCTTAGACTAAAAAGTTTTTCTTTTCTTATTTATTCATATTAGAATGCTTTTATGTTAGGAAAATCAGGAAATAAACAGATTATAAATGGCACTGAGCAGTGTTCTATGTATTCACATTGCTACATATTTCACAATAAAATAGACTGGACTATTTCAGTTGGAAGGGACCGAAAATGATCAGCTTGCCCAACTGCCTGACCAAGTATAAGCACGTCGTTAAGGGCACTGTCCAAATACTTCTTAAATACTGACAGGCTTGGAGCATCAACCACCACTCCAGCCTGTTTGACCATCCTCTCAAAGAAATGCTTCCTAATGTCCAGCCTGAACCTCCCCTGGCATATCTTGGAACCATTCCCACACATTCTATCACTGGATACCAGGGAGAAGAGCTCAACACCTCCATTTCAACCGTCCCTCCTCAGGGAGATACAGAGAGGAATGAGGTCACCCTCAGCCTTCTTTGCTCCAAACTAGACAAGCCCAAATTCCTAAGCTGCTCCTCACAGGAAATATTTTTTCCAGACTCTAGCCAGCTTTGTTGGTCTCCTCTGGCTGCACTCAATGACTTTACATCCTTCTTAACCTGTGAGGCCCAGAACTGCACACAGTGCTCAGGGTGAGAACAGCAGACAGCAGGATTATCACTTCTTTTGAACCTGCTAGTTGTGCTGTATTTGATGCATCACAGGATATGGTGCCCTCTTCGCTGCTTGGGCTCAGTGCTCATCTCACCAGCACCCCTGGATCCATTTCTGCAGGGCTAGTTTCCATCCACCGGTCTCCCAAATTGTGCTTGTGTTGGGCATTACTCCACTCTAAGTGCAGAACTCTTATTAAATTTCATCCCATTAATCACAGCCTAATGCTCCAATCTATCTAGATCACTCTGCAAGGCCTTCTGTCCCTCAAGAGAGTCAACAGCATATCCCAGTTTCTTATCATCAGCAAACTTGCTAATGGGGCATTCAACTCCTGCATCCAGACCACTGATGAATGTATTGAACAGAACTGGCTGTGCAACTGAACCTTGAGGAATATCACTGCAGACCAGTCTCCAGCCATATGTAGCCCCATTCACTACAACCCTTTGGTAAAAACTACAGACCCATTTGTAAACAAAGAAAACATCACAACAAATAATTCCAGTGTAGGAAATTGGTGACAGGACACAGAATATTTGAAAAATTTCCATAAATCCCAAACTCTCCTCCAATTCCCTTTCTTTCCTAGTAAACTCTCCATTTGTCTACCATAATCTATAAAATCTCAACTCCAAAGAAGTGTAACAGAAGTTCTCCTGAAGATTTCAGTGGAAATGCACTTTTATAACTCAAAAATTTATTCACCAGGAAATCAGCAAACTGAAAAAAAGAGTTGTTCATTACTAGGTGCAAGTCATTTCCCAACTGCTACTTGACTTGAGATTACTTAGAGAAAAGCACATTTTCTAAAACATTTTTTTAATATCAATTTTCAGCAATTTTCAATGATAAAATTATCTCCTAGAAACAAAATTAAAATGTTCTTTTAAAAGGATAAGAATAAGAGCTTACACACTTGAATTTTCATCTATACTAAAAATCAAAAGACCAGGACCTATAGAGAAGTGACAAGATTCTTGATCAAGATAGACAGAAAGGACGTACATCTATGTTTCTTTTGTCCATAGCAAGTGTTGCTATCATGGTAGTCATGCAGTTTCCTCCCAGGCTGTCTCTTAGGACTGAGGTCATCATAGAGTTTCGGTAAGGAATGTGGGACCGGTTTTTCTCTGCAAGGGCAATTATTACCTGAAATAGCAGCAAAAATAAAGGATTTTAAAATTTATATGTCAATTAATGTTTGACACATATAAAGAACAAATCAAATCTGCTCAGAAACTTTTGACACAACAAAACAACATTTATGGCACCCCACTGTTAGCTGCAAACCCACTGGCTTTATTGAAAGAATTCCAAGTTAAATTTCTGCATCTTTATATGTCTTTGTAGGAGCTGAACCTGAAAGACCAGATACATTAAATTTTATCATGCCCTAGCCTAACAGTCTCTCAGCAACATGGAAACTGAATGCAATAAAATCAAACTCACAGGTTTTCCTAAGACACAGGAACTTACTGAAAATCTTCCTCATACTTTTTTGCCAGAACTATAAAATCTGCCTAGTTTTAAAGTAAAAACTTCCTCAATATTTGCTAAAGCATGCTTTAAAAATTACACATTCTTAAAATATGGACTTCTTAGATGGGCCAATACATTTATTTCTGAGAAAATGTCTTGGAAAGACATAAGTAAAAGGGTGCATGATTACAATGTACTGCTGTAAAGTAATGATTCAGTTTAGAATATATATGCCTTGGCCAAAAAGGAAATTGAACACCTACTATTCTCAGTTTCCCTCCACAGCTGTTTACATTACAGGACCGAATTATTAAATAAAAAGCTAGATTACCCCATTATGTCCTGTGATAAAAGATCTGAACTGTTATCTGGCCAAGCACTGTACTGAAAAGCTTTATCTATACAAGTTGTGCAAACTGTCCTAAATTATTAGGAGTTAGTTTTTAATAAATGTTACATACCAGGGTATATTTTGCTTATGCTACATTTACAAAAATTGTTATTTTAGAAAATTTATTAGTGACTTTCTTGTGGCATTAGTTTCTCTGAATGGTCTTCAGAAAGTTAAAACTATAAAACTTACACTGGCAGCCCTGAGAGACACAAGTGCATAATAAGAAAATTACTGTCTTGTAAAGGAACCTGGAAGCCCATTCCTGGATCAAGGTTTTCAAATCTCTTATGTTACAACTTGTTATATAGAAACATGTTAAAGCTTTGTTGGTTTATAATATTGCATAGAAACCTCCTAGTAGTCTAGTGCATACATTAATAAGCATGTTCTCAGCCTCTGCCACACAGAGACTATAATGAAAATAGACAAGATAGGAAAAGAGCCAAAGAGAAGAAATGTTCTTTCCATTATAAATGGGAACATGGTTATAGGGCAGTTAATTTTTTCTGAAGTTCATGCAGGAAGTCTGCAGTCGAGTTAGAATCTGAACCCTCCCACACTAATGCTGAGAAGCTGTGACCAGCTCTTATCATACAGAACCCACTGGAATGTCATATGACAGTCCCATAACACAGACAGTTTTAGACTAAAGTCTCATTAGTAAAACCTCACCTTAATCACTAAATCAATCTTTACAATTCAATCAAGGAATCTGGAATGGAAAGAGGGGAATCTGAAGGAGAAGGTTTCCCATCCTACTTGCCATTTCTACTAAAATTTAGAAGATAGTTGTTATTATTATTAGATAGTGACATTAGAAAGCGACAGAGACCATCTCTGGTCTCTGTCTCTATTGCACCAAATGCAATAATCAGAAAATTGTCTTATTTTAAAAGGTGTTATTATCCTTTTGATATAAAAAGGGTTTATTTTATTTTTTTAAAAATGCTTGTAATTCTAAGCTTAATAATATCACCAAAGCAGAAAGTTTTATTTTGAGTAGGTCAAAAAAACCACTTTAAGGCCAAGCTGCTGCCAGAACTCTTGTTACCTTTTGTAAAATGGCATCCTATATGAAACATACAGCAGGTAAAATCACTCACAAATTTCACTGACACATGCAGAAACACTGTTAAGCACAAAGGAAAGTGCAAGACTCACAAGTGGTTCTGACATGCTAAGAGTCCCTGTTTCTGTCTACATCCCTTGTGCAAGGAACAGATTTGCACCAGTATCTCATGCCATCATGTTTTCAGAGAATCCTCGAGTAATGGGGATTTTGGGGTGCATCACTTGCAGAAACAGAGCTGTCAGGTACACCTCTATCTTGCTGTTTAGTGTATCACATGCTCTGAAGCCATATTCCTGCTTCAGAGGTCTTTTTTTCTTTAAAATATTTTCCATCCTACTTCCCATTTCTAGTACAGTTTAGAAGCTTAAACTCCGGTCTTTACAGATAAAAAAAACAACAACAAAAAAAACCCCAACAAACAAACAAACCCCAACAAAAAATCAAGAAACCCACAACAAATAAAAAAACAAATACAAAAAAACGGACAGCAACCATTCACTAATGGTTCACAAATTTTTCAATGTTCCGTAAATGGAACAAGTATTAACAAATATATTCATCAAAGCAGTGAGAACATTGTACCCTGTTATTTTGGTGAAATAATTCCATTATAGTGTCAAATCACATGACATTATAACTGTTAATTTGCAACTCTAATTCTGGTCCAGAATCCTCTATATTTTTATCATAAGGGAATATCTACATATGCACAGTTACAATGCAGTTGTAATTCCAGAACATGCTACTACATTTCTCAGACAAAAAAAAGCTACCCAAATATGGTAGTAAGGACTTCTAAGTTCCTACTATAATTTCAGATCAGCTACATGAAACTATCTTCATTTTTCTCTAGACACAGAGGTGTTGCAGTCTGCAACCACAGGATCATGTCCAGAGAAGCTAAATTTACTGGGACAGCATGGGACAGGAACGAGACAGGCTTCTATTCATGAAACCACTTATTCAGCATGGGAACAAACTCAGATTCAGAGACAGAGAGCCCAGAACAGAAGCAGGGTGATGGGTTTTGAGGGACAGAACTAGGGTGGAGTTTAGGATCACGGACCACTAGAAACACAGCAAGGGAGAAACCCCAGAGGCTCAAACCCAATCAGAACTCCTGGGCCGCCCCTCACAAGGGGTTTGGGGTGGGGCAACTTCATCCAGGCCTCACACAGCCGATCCCCTGAAGCAGGAGGTCTAGATTCACACTACTTGGGCATTTCACCCCTGCCTCCACTTTAACAATGCTTATCTAAAACTAAATCTTTGCTTCTCTGAGGCACCTCACAACACAGAGGCCGTTGGGAGTAAAAGTGCAGTGGATTTATTTGAAGACCTTTTTAACAAGCTGCAGATATTTAGCAAGTAGATCAAGTGTGGTAACAGAGAACTGTGTTCCCATTGTCGTCTTGATACAAATAATTTAACATGACTATGTTACTGTGAAAAGTATTTCAAAATTGCATAAATCAACACTAGACTGACTACCAGTAGATAGCTAAAGATTTGAGAATTTTAATAAGCTGATTTTGAAGCATTTGTACACTTTAGTATTATTCACTGCAAGTTCAAGATTGAATGATTTAATTCCCACTGAACAAAAAGGTATGTTTACTGTCTTTAGTGGTCTTTTTTCAATATTAGAAAACATTTCTATTGATACACAATCCCAGACAGAATCCAACATGCCTATTTCCAACAGCAGTTTTCTAAAATAGTAATTACAAGTTGAATGAAAAAATAGTATTTTTCCCTGCTAAATACATAGAAATCATACAATAAACAAGAAGGGATCCTGAGTATATTTTGTACGATTCTGAAAATGTTGATTTTAGAGTCACTTATTACTTCCCTTGAATACAAGTGAAATAACAGACATTTTTCTTCAAGGTAAAACTTAGGCAAATCAGGCACATGAAAAAAATCTAGTGTGAGTAAATGACTGACTGCCACCTGTTGTGCCTTACGCTTCTTCTTTTGACAGATTAAATATCTCTGATTATAAATTGAATGAAATCCAAGAGATTTGTTTTTCTTAACAGAAAAACATGACACAAAAATGAAAAACAGTCTTCCCAGCAAATAAAACAGTTATATTTCTTAATTATTATTTTAAAGAAATTTCACACAAACACACCTACAAAGTTTTCAGGTTTAATAACCTCCTCAACAGTATATTTTGCTAAATAGCACATATATGATAATGTAAGTTAAAAAGTACAGATATGAATTTTAGAGTTAAGCCTTTTTTCTTCTGCCTATCCTCCTTAATTGTCCCCCTAAATGACAGCCTGACAGACCTGCTATGTTTCTACATAAAAATTTTTAAAGAAGCCTTAGGAGAAAATACTGTATCATCTGTCAGAATCCCCAAAATAATTAATTTCTAGTAATGGGAACAGTGTTTGCTGTACTGTGAAAACAGTATTATATATGTGATAAACTAATAGGGTTTGTTAATCAAATTTTATATAATTGCTAAAATATATATAATTGCTAAAATATAATATGATTGCTGAAACTGTTTTAAGAGTTAACATCCACAAGAATGCTTAACCATGAACACCCTGTTGAAAAAGCAAGAAAATATCAAAGTTGTTAGGAAAGTACTGGTTGCCCAAAAGCTAAAACCCACAGTATCCAGCTGCATAAACAAGAGGTAGAACAACATCTTATTAGGAGGGGGTTGCTTAAGACCCACGTCCAATCATGGACTGAGGAAGACTACCCACGACCACCAAGAAGCAAAAGAAGACCCCCTAGCAACAGGTGGCGTGGGCACTGACGTGATCTAGGAAAGCACCAATACAGGGACTATTAAAAGAGGAACCTCCTCAGCCAAAGCGCGCACCGTGGGTAGGATGCTTAGAGGAAGTGTCCTGCGGCATGCCCCAGCTGGATTTTTGGTTGCCTACTGCTTGCTGGATTAATAAAAATTGGCTTTTATGAATTATTTAAAATTGTCCCTTTATTTTGTCACGCCAATTTATAACAATATATTCAGTCTTAGGAAGAAATTAAATTCTCTCACAGGTGTGAGATCCAATATGGACACCTGAAAATCTTCAGTGATTCCAACTTAATTGCACAGCATTCACAAAAAGAGATTTCATTCATTGCCAAGTGTTTCTTACCCCAACTTAGTAAGCATCATAAACATCAACCATATAAAACATCATGGTAGAGCAGAGACAGATATATATTAAAGCCTTAAAATATTTCTTAAAATATAGTATTAAAATAATTAATTTAACAATTAATTAAAATAATAAATTAATAATTAAAATTATGTAATTATTATAAAACACATTTATAATAACCATCATAATTAACCAAATCTTTCTACTGGAAATCTTTATATCCAAAGTTTCCTTTCACTGCTTCTGTCTGAAATAATTTTTTTAAAAAAAGAAACAAGATTAGTTGGAATAATCTATTTGCTCGATATTTGCCTTTTCCAAATGGGAAAAACAAAAAGCAACAGTGAAAGAAGAATAGGGATTTTAGTACACCTTAAATTAAGAGACTAAATCTTTTTAGTAACAACAGCTGAATGACAAAGATTTGTGGAGATAAATAATAATAATGATAACAACAATAATAATAATAATAATAATAATAATAATAATAATAATAATAATAATAATAGTTTATTTATTTATTATTATACTACATCTATGAGTACTATTGGTATAAATCAAATTATGGTAGTCAATCGATAAATATATTACCAATGATAACTTCTGTCTCAAAAAGATCAAAGATTTAAATCGGTAGAGGAACAAAACAACACATGAGAGAAGAGCCTAATAATTTACCACATTACAATGCTTGAACAAAATAAAGCCCAAACACTTTCTTTTCAGTTATACATCCTGAACCCAGCTGTGGAAGGGGAAGAAGATTATGAAGAACACTTTCAGGAGAAATATAGCTGAAATCTTGTACATATCTTTAGTATTTCAAAGAAAATAAGAAAACTATTTTGCAAATACTACCCTGTTTACCTACTATGATCTTACTGCTTAATTGTTAAGTTTTCTCTAAATTAAAATGTTCCATTTTAAAGGAGGAGCTGTCAATTCAATGATTTTAAAAGACCTGCAATAAATATCCTAAGACTAATTGAAATCAAGTTTTCCAAAACTTTGAACACTGTTGAACAGGAATTTAGTAAAGGGAAAAATGTTTTACTCTGTTTCAATTTTACCTGCTCCAAATAATGTAATGACAGGTTGATATATTTGGCTTCTGTCAGTAAGTGGCCTCCAATTCCAGTCTTTGCAACACGCTCTGATCCAGCAAGGTCTACTAAATGCAACTTGGAGCATCGAATAGTTGCAGATCCAGGTTCCTTGCTGGAGACATAAATAGTGAAAATGCAGTGAGATCGGCTTGAGGCTTGATTCATCGGTGTCTACAATGACAGGAAAAAAAGAACTCTCAATGTTCAGTAGATAAATAAATTTAGCTTTTTATAGCTCAATAATCTGGCAACTGAAATAATCTATCCAAATTTTTAGCTATTAGACATGTAATGAACATGCAAAAAGAACCTGAAATGATTGACCTGACATTCACATTCTGGACAAATACTTGGGTAACTTTAGTTTGGACGAATCATACTGTAAGCAATTAAGCTTATTCCAAAATACTCTAACATATGCAAAACAAGTAGCCTTACTACACTAGGAGTAATAGAAAAGGGCAGTTGGACTGGAGGGAAAGGTACTGAACGGGGATCTCTGAGAAGCTATTCATTTCCCCATTGGTAAATCAATTTTTTTTTTTTTTCCTGATAGGTTACCAATGTAATGAGGACTAGGACTTCCTATAAGGCTTTAGACTTTTCATTATTACTTTTACGAAAAAAATCTACTTGGCAAAATCTGTATCAGGTTTTTACATAGCATGACAAAGTTTTCATAAAATGTTTGGCTTTAAATATATTTTTTGGGAATAACTACAGCCACCACCTTTGTTTAAAACATGGAAATTCTTGGTCAATTTTTAGAAATGTGCAGTCTTAGCATCACTTCAGAGGTTTTTCAGTATATTTGAAATGCTGAACTGGAAGTTTTAAACAACTCTCAGTTAATTAACTTTAGATTTCAAATGTCCATATGCCAACACATATTCATTTTTATTAAAAAACAGACAAAATATCTTTAAGCATCTAAAGCACCTTTTTTTTTAGTTGCATCAAGGTATTGTTAGAAACTTAAATCTAAAATTACTCCTCATAATCCTCATTTTAAAAACAGCTAAAACTTTAGATTACATATCTAGATTAAAGCTTTAGCATACAGATAGTATTTTTATTCACAAACTATTACAAGTATGACTACATTGTTTTCAGGACATAAATGCTGGACCTGCAAAAAAGTAGAGTAGTAAAATTTTAAGTCAATATTATTGAGTCATCAACTATATCTATATTTATTTATAGCTGCTGAAAAAAGCAATAAAAAATATCCTGATTATACTGTCCACATTAATCTCTTGTCTCTACTTTATTCCCCTGTTACTATGCAGTAATATTTTTTGTAGGCCTATCCTGTGATTCAGACCAGATATACCAATATATTGCCTTTTTTTAACATAATCTGCTTTAGCATGCAACACTGCAGATGTTAAAATGGCCTGTCCGTTGCAGGTATTGAAGATGTCTTATTGATCCAGAAAGGACAGCTCTTAACAGAAAGACTGCAATCTGAACAGTCCTTTAACAGAAATAATACGGACTGTTTGGTTCAATTGTCTTCACTTCAATATCCCCTTTTTTCCCAGATTTAATAGTGCCAGCACAATCAAACGGATTTTGGGAACTGATCCGGCTCAACATTAAAAAACAAAAAACCAAAACAAAATTGAAACCCAAACCAACCAACCAACCAACAAAACCCCACATAGATATTTAACCTGGGTCAGTTTCTTGATTAAGCCACAGGATAGCTATAGAAAACAGTGTCAGAATACCTGAAAATGGGAGTGTTTAGTATGTGAACTAGTAAGTAGTTTGCAGGAATAGCATACACTTGTAGCTGTTGGTGAAAATTCTGTAAGGAAATTTAGCCTTAGCAGTATTTTCTTTAGGGTTGCTTTATCTAATAAAGGAAAGCTTAGAGGGAGAGGGAAAAGAATTTTGATCATTAGTCTATACAGATGAAGAATTTTGGAATTCATGATGCTGTGAAATGAACATCAGAGTGCAGTCACATGCTATGCTGTCCTCAGAGGTGATGCTGGGCAAATGAAGAGGAAGTGAGTGGCAGTGTTGGAACAAAAATAAACAGGCTGAGGGAAAGGTGTCAAGCAAGAAAACAATCTCAAACTTACTTAAAATGTAGTTATACTAAGAAAATGTTTTATGCTGTGAAAATGTACTTTATTCAGCAATTGTGATTCCATGAATAATCAGAGCCAGCTTCACTTATTTTACTAAGAGGGCTTTGATTTTTTTATTTGCAGCTCTCTGAAGCAGGACTGGGTATTTTTTATTTTTTTTTTCCCAGCTAAAAATCCACGACAGATTTAATACTTAAGGACTTTTTCCTTGACAGAACTGATAGATAAGGACATTTTGCACTACACATATGGCATCATGGCGTCACACTATACTGCAGACAAGTCTAACCCAGATCAAATATTACAGATGGAAGCACAAAGCAAATGTTGTTATTACAGAAGCTGAAGAAATCATCATACTTCTGAATAAGTATTCATAAGCAAACTTGAGATGCACACTGCAGCAAAACCTCATGTATTTCCAAATGTGCTTTTAGTCACACATGTTTAATGCTAACATAGGCAAAAAAAAATTCAAATCCTAAAAAAAAAAGTCAGGACTCCGAGTTCCAATAAGCACATGACAATATTTGCTCTACAAGGTTTTAACTGTCTGTCTATTGCGATTCACTAGCCACAACTTTATTTTGTGTATTCCACGTAGATTTGCCTGGACTAGTCATTAGAAATTCCATAATTCCATTACTTTTCTCTCCACAGGTTCTTTTTCTCATGCAAATGAAAAAATTAAGGAAGCTGATCTGGAAGTCATTGACTAGAATCCCAAACAGATATTTTTGTCAAGTCCTTCTTCGAAGCAGAACCATGGTTTAACCAAGACACCAGTAATCCTTTTCGCAGTATGCTTCTATCTTTGCTTTGCAGTTCCCATATATAGGAAGCTCTGTTAGAACTCTTGCAGGAAGCAATAAAAATGTAAACTGTTAAATGGGATGTGACCATGAAATGCTAATTGCATAATCATCCCACATTTTGCTACTTTTACTACATAAGCAGATGCACAGCACACAACAGAAATGATGATGTGTTGGCATCTCCAGTCCATAAACAAGTCTTTTCTTTTGCTATTTAGTTGTTACCTTACATATGCAACTTCTGAGTATCACCATTCATCTGTTTAGAAAGTTTGAAAACAGAAAACAAGTAACATTTTCTGGAAAGTGCCTCTGAGCCTACTAAAATATTCCTTTACTGGTTTTCAGAGTTCATTTTGGCTTTGTTAGCAGTATTCAAACCATATGTATATGAAATCATCCTCATACTAATTTGATGCAATGAAGAAAAAAAAAGAAAGAGGGGAGTGGCCTGGTTCTCAGCAGATGGTTGCTATTCTGGGCGTTATATATAGAACAACTGATGAGCTGCAGTTACCTACAAAGAATAATTATTTCAAGGAATTCTGTGACACCATAAATCACATAAGCAAACTTCAGCTGCTTTGTGGTATCACGTGAACACTACAAAGGACTTAAAGGTTATCTATTCCTGCCCATTTGTGGCATGGTAAAGAACAAATCCAGTAACATTTAAGATCATGACTTGGTAAAGCATCAGCATTTCATTTGATCACAGAAAATATGTACAAAGTATTTCAAGCCATACAAGCCAGTCTTGTCTGTTTTTTCCAGGATGAAAATATACCTGTGTTTGATGAAATTAAATAAATTGTATAGAAGCTTTGTGACTTTAACTATTACATCTATTTATACAATGGTTGCAAGAAAGTGGCTTCTACTTAAATGAGAATCTACATCACAGTCATACTGCAAGAAGCTTCTGAGTTGGATGTTTCTGTCAAGGAATACAAGGTCAAGAACCATCCAAAAACTTGCTGGAACATAAATTGTCCATATTAATCTAATTTTTACCTATCTTGAGTCAGCAAAACACTACATGAATCCTTCCCCATACAGGAATTTACGTATTTCCCAAACCCTTTATTTGTTGCAGCTGCTATTATCAATAGCCAGAATGCTACTGGTCTAAATACAGTTCTTAATGATTGAGGACCTAACAAAGAGAAAGTTTCTTAAAAAGGACAAAGACATAAGAAAAGCTGTTTGAAAATCACAACTAGACTAACAGAAGCTACTATCTGGAAGAATAATGTGGCTGTCAAAACACTCTGACAGAGGTAATACACGAAAGAGTTCAGGACCACTGAGACAAAACAATTTTGCAGGTGATAAATGCAGTCGTTCAGCCCATATTGCAAACCATCTCCACTTGGCAACTTACACCATTCCAGTGGAATCTGTTCTTCCTTGAATCAAAATATTTAGACAGCAGAAGAACATGATTTTCCTGTATAAGTGAATCAGTGACTAGCTAATGCATAAAGAGAGGCTGATTCTGAGTGTTCACTGTTTTTTGAGAGACTGTCTCAGTGAAAAGGTACAAAATTTTCTTTTAAGGAATGCTTCTTCTTATCCTTAAGGTTTTTTGCTTCTGACCTTTTCAAAGCAGAGCAAGGGGAAAAAAAGAAAATACTGATAGCATCCAAGATTGATATCAAATCAATTTTCTCCAATCTCATGCTACAGATACCCCTCAATCAGAGGGGTATCTGTAGGAAGATATTCTGACAGCTACAGTCATTTCACCGTTCAGATGGATATCTCTGCCTAATGAATATAAGCTTCACTGGTCCCAACAGAACTATGCTATAAGGAAGAGCATGTAAGTTGAAGAATAGGAGATGCCTGCCTTCATATCTGGTAGATGAGAGAGACCTCAGTATGTCTTTTAGTTTCCTTTCTAAGTAAGTTACAGGTAAAGGGGCTCCTCAGTTGCACTTATGTACACTTGTCATAGTTGAAAAATTGTTGCTATGAAAATAAAAGGATCAGAATAGGTGCAAGCACTTCCTGAAAGCAATGTTTTATCTTTCCTTATTTACTACAAGTAGAGTTTCACAGTTAGACCATAACTTTTAAACTCAGGTAACTTTTAAAGTAATTAATATTCTCAGATGAAGACATTATTAAACCTTACATGCCTTTTATCCATATAAATTCCAAATAATTTTAAGGATTATTCAAATTAATATGTATGACCAGTAATTTTTTTACCACACATGAAAATGAAAGCACCTCTGCTGAAATAATGAGGCCATTTGGAGCTAATAATATAATTATTATATTTAATATATATATTAGTCTGTCAGAGTGGAAATAAGTTAACAATTGACACCAAAGAGGAAACTAGGAAAGCAGAAAAGTTGTCATTTCTTCTGGACTACAGCACTCAGATAGAATGCAGTTTTATCAAAAATGACATTTAATCCCATATGCTCACACAATGAAATCCTATTTTTCTTATCTCACTCAATAAAAAATTCAGTCAAATACTACCATTGGCTGTCTAAATATATTCAAGAGAATATTAATGTACAATAAATGCAAATAGAATGAGTTCAATTCATAGGCCACAAGTCAGTCCCCACAACTATCCTTAAAACTTTATGTTTCATTCTTTCTTGAAAAAAACATATTTGAAAATTTCCCAAAGCTTACTGATTGCTCCAAGTGTATTTCAAACATTTTAAATGATGGAATAAATACTGTGTAGTATACACTGTGTCCCAAATTTAAAAGATGGAGTGCTATAGGTATAAAACCATGCACTGAAACATTTCCTTCTTCATTAAAGCAAAGTAATTTTTCGTTAGAAGACAAATGAATTCTAACTGTACATGCAACTGCTGTCCTCAGACATACTAATCTCAGAAAAGGATTTTACAGTTTAGAAATTGCTGCATATCCTTAGGAGGCCACCTTACTCTACTGCTTTAAGAGAAATACTAAAAACCACTAAGTATTCTCAAAATCACAGAGGTTTATGCATGTTATTGCAAAAGACAGAAGTCATATGAGATTCCCATCACAAGAACTTAGAAAAGATCACTTCAGCTTAAGATATATTAATAGTATAACAAAATAAAATGGTTTGAGAACACTACCTAAACGACTAAACATGTATTTACACACAGGAGCTTTTACAGATGTTGCTACTACCAACTGTTTATATTGCAAATTTGATTTTTAAGTCCTCAGCATGCATTTCAGATACCGCAATCGTAAGATTGTCTTAACAGATAGGAACTATAAGAAAACAGTTCAGACTTTATAACCTGTTCCTGCAAATTCTTATATATTCAAATGTAAAAAGAAACTGCTTTATTGGAAAGCAAAAAAAAAAATCTCATCCTTACATTCATTTGTTGAATGAATGTTTGGTAGACCTGCCAACAAAAGACTCGGTTTTTTGGTTTTGTTCTCTGCCTATTTCTCTCTGGCAAAATATGAGACAAAAAATTCCTATTTGGATTTTTACATTATGAGTTGTCTGTGCACAAATGTCTCCCATCTCTACCATTTCCCACATACCATTACTGTACACATCAAAACTAGAGCAAAGGACCAGCCCTACATTGCCTAATAAAGAAATCCTGAAAAAATTAGAATTGCTTCCTTTTTTTTTTCCTTCTCTTGGGCTATATAGTTACATATGGGAAAGAAGCATTTGGTTATAAATGTTCCCTTAGGTTCTGAAATTTAATGAATGAATGAAGAAATCTTGCCTATAAAATACTTTTAATATTGTGATGACTTTCTTTTTAGCACAATCAGTGATGAGGGTAAAATGCATCCCTCAAATCACAAGTTAGACTGAATTAGCATAGGGAATGCAGAAATGAAATTGTCATTCTTTTTTTCAAAATTCTTCAAAGAAGGGTTATTCAGGGTTAAGGCACTAGATTGCAGTTTTAGAAGCTACGTATCTCCTGTGTGATCCATGACAGTCAACTGAGTTTTTCCACAGCCTAACTCATAATTAAAAAAGATGAACCCAGCTTTTATTTTTTTTTCTTATTAGGTTTATTAATCTCATTTAATTTTCTTTAAAGTTTATTTAAGAGGGTTCAAATCTTCAGAGGTCAGAAAGTATTATCATAGCTCAAGATTTAAAAATACGGATCTCCAGAGAAGTTATGTTTTATGTCATAAGTCCTCCTTCTTAGATCTCTAGATTAACCCTTTTCTCCTCTACTACATTTTGTCAAGTTCCTCTCCTCCACACAGTATCCATCTTTCTATTTCAAAATCATGAAGCAGTTCCTTGCCTCAATGCTCAGGTTTATGAGCAGCTCCTATGTTGATTATCTCTTGCCTTAACATATTCCTGCCTCTCAAAATAGAACTGTTGAAATAGTCAGCCTTGAGAAAGAATAAATATTTGTGTGCCCTATGTATGTTTGGTAATCAAATGTTTCTTCCCCTGTGTTCAGGCGTATGTGGTCATCCAGCAGGAATACAGAACTACCTGACTATTCATATACTCTTAAGTGTCTTTCTTGTCAATGATTTAAAATACATCCTTTTGGAGATACCGAGGAAGAAAACACAAAAAGTTCTAAAAGAGATTTGACACTATTGTAGTAAAGACACATTGTCAGTGCCCATATTATATAACACACTTTTTATATTTACATTCCATATCAAAGCATGAAGGGAAAAAAGGATCCTTACAGATGTCAGATACAGAAACATTTAATTTCAATTTTTCAGAATCAGGAAAACCACCCATGTGTTTGAATATTGGCACATATTTATTTTGAATTTCATTTAAACCAACATTTGGGTTTTTGGTGGGTTTTGTTTGTTCATTTGTTTGGTTTAGGGTTTTTTTGTTGGTTGGGGAGGTTGTTTTGTGTTTTTGCACTTAACATCATCTGTTCATGTAATAAGAAGGAAAAAAAGAGGGGACTTATATTAAGTATTTCAAAGGCAATTGAGTGCTTAGTCATAGAATCATAGAATGGTTTGAGTTGGAAGGGACCTTAAAGATCATCTTGTTCCAATACCCCAGACCCCTCACTCCATCAGTAGGGACACCTTCCATTAGAACAAGTTTCTTGGGGTCCTATCCAGCCTGGTGTTGAAGACTTGCAGGGAAAAACCTCACTGGGAATGTTTGACAATGCTTTGCAAGGACATATTTTCTTATCTTTACATGTCTGTGTATGTTGATACACGCAACATTCAAAAGTCAGTCTATAGTTGTGACAGCATTTAAGAAAACAAAGAGAAACACGTAAGGAAGTTAAAACTGCTGGAGGCTGATAGAAGTTTTTCTCCTGATCAATAGCTGGCCATTTCTGAGAACTGACAGTAGTTTTAACCATTGAAAAGTGAGATCAACCTGTGAACACCACCTTAAGACCTAAGCCCAGGAATTTCTTTGTCTCTTGGTTTTTTGACTGTGAAAGGTAACAGAGCTCCAGCTGGCCTCCCGTCCCCTGCCCGGGCCATGTGGCCCAGGCAGGGGCCGGGCTGGGCCTGCCACGGCTCCCGGTTGGGAGATGGGGCCTGTGGGGCTTCTCCCAGGCTCTGGCCGGGCCAGGCCAGTCCCTGGCTCGGCTGCAGTTTTTGCAGCTTTGAATTTCACCAGGAACTGCCGAATAAGGAGAGAGAAAGCCATTGACCTGCGGCGGGCTGAGACAGTGACTACACTTTCCAGAGCAGCCATGAAAAATCTTCCATCACAGACAGCTCCAGCTGCTGCTCTGGCAGACATCACAGAACCATCTACAAAGCCTGGGCAAGATTTTAACTCTTTCACTACCCAGATAAGACTTGCAGATTAATCTTTTTTTTGCCAGAGAGAGAGAAGAGAGTGATCAACAGGTAAAAAGACAACATAAACTATCAAAGACAGTGAAGAAAGGAATTAAGCTTCAGAGAGAGAGAGAAATAAGGAGATGCTTTAATAAGCTGAAATATTATTTTGCTAAAACTCTAGAGGTAGACAATTTTGTTCTGAAAAACTACTTCAATTCATGACAGAGTATTTTGGGGGGAATAGAGTATTTCAAAGTGTGGATTTAAGCAAATGGTGAAGTAGTTGTGATCTTATGTGATGCTGGAACAGAAATAGAGAAGTGAGAGTTGTTGAAAATTTGTGGCTATTAAGAGGCAAAGAAAAAACTTCTGTTTCCAGAGATGCTCACAGAGACAAATGAAGAAAACTTTTGCCTTTGAATAACTCATCCTTAAAATGACACCCCTTGACTCATAACACATCTCAGAGTGATGTAATATGGGAAGAGAGAACTGATGACAGAGTTTTCCAGGCAGCTGGCATCAAAGAAATAGAAAACCATAGGAAAATGGTCTTCTTATGAAAAACTCCATAGATTAACAGAAGAGAACTTCTTTTTCTCTACAAAGACTGATGAAGAGACTATAGAAAAGTTAGGATTGTTTTAACCATCAAAGTTTTTTTGTCTCTATGTTGTCATGTGAACGAGAGAATGGTGGAGTAGTGGAGAAAAAGGAGTTCTGGAAGTTTTATTCTAGTTTCTTATTTTTGTAGTTTTGTTAATAAACTTACTTTGTTCCTTTTAAGTTTTAAACCTGTTTTGCTTTTGTTCTAATCCATATCTCACAGCAAGAAATAAATAAGTTGTCTAGTGATTTTTTAGCTAATACTTTAAAACGATGACAATAGTTTCAAGATTTTTTGTATTCTACGTATTTGAATTTTAATAAGTCATGACATCAAGTGCCACCAATCAGATCCACTATGGAACACTTTCATCAGAGAAATGCTTATTTAATTTCATTGTGGAAATACACTCAAAAAACAGGATACTAATTTATGTCCAAAGACTTCTAAAATATACATCTTACTTGAGAGGAGAGATGTTTTTGACCATTTTAACTCTGGTTGTGCTAAGAAAGATTTGGAGCAAAAAATCTCACCTCAGCAATCATTCTGTTGGTGTCTCCCAAGAAGAGTAGGTTTAAGGCTTCCTCTTCATTGGTTGCTTGCAGAAGAGACAAGTTTTTCAGATGAATGTTTTGATCAGAGTCTTCCATTATCGTCACTTTTCTACATGTAAAATAAAAACAACAGCGAAAACTAGAGTTTTAATGCATTGTTGTTTCATACTTTCATTTTGATCACACCTAAAAGGTGAAATCTAAACCCCAAACCCAATCATAATGAAAGAACATTAAAAATAAATTATACACATTAAAGGAAGTGTTGATATCTTTTTTTAATGTCACCTCCTTTTTATTCCTTTATTATGAAACTATAGAAAAGGAATATAAGAAAACTGTAAGTTTTAGAGAAAGGTTTGGGATTTTTATTTATTGAGATATAGTAAAATCTCAAAAGTAAGATTACATGAATCATCACAAACAAATAATGCATAAGGGTTTGTTTGTTACTACCAAGTACTGATGATATATAAAGCATACCATTATTCTGACGTACAAACAGGCATGCACTATTTCAGAATCAACACATCCGTAGTCATCATGTTTCTAATAACTTTGCATTTGTCAAGATTATTTATCTTTTCATTCTTCTTAAATTATAGTAACTACAACTGTAAATGATCCCTTTCTTAAATTAAAAGCTAGCTAACAGAATGATTTTATTTATTCCCCCTGTTAGAAATGTTTTTAGTTATGCTTCTATAAGACTAAAGCTCTCAGAAAGGAATTGGATGCAGTAGCAAGGATACGGCAAAAGCTCCAGAAGAGCTGCTAAATATTACTGAAAATCCTTTTTACTTCTTTGAATAATCCTTTAGCATAAGAATTTTTTTTCTTTCATAACGGTTACTAGGTGTTAAACTTTGTAGGCATTACTGAGTAGCCATTAGGGTCTCCTCAGCTGGGAAATTCTATAGTATCCAACATGGAGGCCAAGTAGTTGTCTCACTGGATTTGGAAAACTCTTAGAGAGAAGAACCTGTTAAAACAGACGTACACTAAATCTGAGGATAAATAACATGTCCTTCAGGGTGAATGACATGTTCCGATACAATTTAAAACAAATTCATACTTTTTAAAAGTTGAAAGTTGTTGTTTTTATTTAACCCCAAACTTCTATTTTCTGGATAAGTATTGATAATACTTTCTATCTAAACATGTACACCTATATGTATACATATAAGTATATAAATATTTTTTTATGTTCTTCAAGATAAACCACAAAATAGCTTGAATTTTCATCTGCAAGTAGTTCTTTCATGTTAATTACTTCAAGATGCTTCTAAACCAGAGAGATTGTGTTTTGTTCTACTTTACTTGCCTTCCCCCTGCCAGCCCCAAACTGAGAATGAAATCAAGTATCAAAGCAGCATTCCAGAGTATTACTTTTAGATACTGTGGGAGTAATTCACAGTATGATGGTCAAAACATTCAAATCACAATGAAGAAATAATTTTAACACCTTGCAATGCACTCACTTTTTTCAAGAAAAATTACATGTAAAAGTACACACAGACCTTCTCTGATAGTCATAACAATTGCTTTTCCAACTATGATTGCCTCCCACTGTTGGCCTTATTTTTGTGTGGTGGTATAAGATATTTTTCACCTAATCATAAAACTCAGCATCCCCAGTCAAAGCATAAACCCCAGAGTATAATTCTGCTCTTGCATATCAAACTTTTTGATAATGTCAAGTTGAATTCCATCTACATCTGCATGTGCATCACACACTAAAGCCCAGAGTGGTTCTGATTACAGTTTTCCTTTATTAACTTGTGCCATTTCCTGCATCAACTGAGCTGTCATCAATGCAGAAGAGCCTTGCACATTGAATGCCTTCATTTATTAAATTCTTGTTACTGGCAAACATTGACCTTAAAGCTTCCTTTGATTAATTAATACTACCTCATTA